TAGCATTTTAGATGCTTTTCTTCCTTCAATGGGAAAAAAATTAGGAAAATGGGAAAAGCTTTGTGATCAAGAAAGGAGTAATATATCTGTTTGGACATGTGGGCTGTGCCTGATACAAGTTTCCAAGCAACTGGAGGGCACCAGTCTGCCTGTCAAAGTTTTAGGGTAGCAATAGCACTTAGACTTATATAGCGCTTTATAGCAATTTTTATAGCGCTTTACAGTGTTTTACACCCTCTCTAAGCATTTACAGAGTCAGCATATTGTCCCCATCAATCTGGGTCCTCATTTTATCGACCTCAGAAGGATGGAAAGCTAACCAATGTGCCACCACAGATAAGGACAATCAGTAAGAGGCTGTCATAAAGAGCTTTGACTGACATATCCCATTTCTGTCATTAATCAATTAGGCAAAGCAATAGGAAGGAAAGACATAAATAATCTCAAGGTTGCTGCAAGCAGCTTGCACAAGAAGCAATAAAATATGCTGGTATCTTACATAACTTTATAATTCTGGGATTAGCTGGTTAGAAAGAGCTCTGGCTATTCTGAAGAGCAACAGAAGTGTTAATAAGGACTAAGAATGTAATTTATTTCCCAGTTATCCCCTTCCTAGCTGAAATGCATTCTTGCCTTACATTCTTGTGTTGCCGGTCTTGTTGATAATGACAGCTTTCCCCGTTTGGTCTACGTTGTGGTCCATGCCAAAATAGGCAGCCACCCGGTGTAGAAGCATTCTGTGGTATGAGGTCATCTGAGGAAACTTCTTGAACTGATTGCTGACCACACAGCAAGGGCAAAGAGTAAGACAATTAAAAAAAAAAAGCTATGAAACATTACGTTGCTTCAATTAAAAATGTCATCTCAGAATTACTTATACTGAAGTTCTTTACTAAAGCAAGGGTACAGTGAAGCAACTGACTTTAAAAGGCTGGCAAACTATGTACAGAACGAAAAATGCAAACTCCCGATTGCCCTGCCATTACATTAAATGCCCTAGGCCTGTGATGGCGAACCTATGGCATGCGTGTCAGAGGTGGCACGCAGAGACCTGTGGGCACACGGGCCATCGCCCAGCTGCTCTTCTGGTTTCTGGCGTGTGCATGCATGTTGGCCACCTGACCTTCACATGTGCCGGAGCGCCAGAAACCCCAAAACCAGCTGGCCGGTGTGAATACGCATGCTGGTAACCTGGTCTTTGGGTTTCCAGCGCTCCGGCCCCCACGAAGACCAGGTGGCCAGCACGCACATGCGCACAGGCCAGCTGGTCTTCAAGTTTCTGGGACTCCAGCACGTGCATGCGCTCCAGTTTGGGCACTCAGTGCCAAAAAGGTTTGCCATCACTGCCCTGGGCCTATGAAATGAAACAAAATGTTAGCTAGAGAAGAGAGATGCTGACTGTAAGCAGTAACAGGTTCTACAATGGACATAAACACTTTCTAAAATATAGAAACTGCATCTTGAGGAAGCCTTCTAATATGGTTTAAGGGAAAGGGGCATTTAGGGAAAAGAATAACCCATGGACATTCGTTTTTGACCTCTTCAGCATCTCTTGAAGAGTCTAAATCAAAACTAAACATGTATTATGTCAACCCAGTTTCATTTTCTATTGCAGCTGAAAACCCAGCAACCAGAAAAACCCAGAACTGTGCAAGTTCACTGTGACAAAGAACAAGAATCAGTACAAGGTAGTCCTCGAACTTACGACAATTGAGCCCCAAATTTATGTTGCTAAGTGAGAAATTTGTTAAGTGAGTTTTGCCCCATTTTACAACTTTTCTCGCCATAGTTGTTAAGTGAATCTGATTTTCCCATTGACTTAGCTCGTTAGAAGATTGCCAAAAGATAACCACATGACTGGGGACACTGTAACCGTCATAAATGTGAGTCAGTTGTCAAGCATCCAAATGTAAATCAATGCTGCAATGATCATAAGTGTGAAAAATGGCCACTTTTTTCAGTGTCATTGTAACATTGAATGGTCACTAAGCGAACTGTTGTAAGTCGAGGACTACTTGTAATTAACTTTTACTATTTAAAATACTATTTTATTATTGGTTGTTAAACAAATCCATCCTTCCGAATGGTGGGATTTTTTTTTTTGCCAGAAGTCACCCAAAAATATCAGAAATTAGTTAAAAAAAAAAAAAATCCATGTTGTAGTTGTGTGACTGGGGGTCATTGGAACCAGTTATCAATGCAAATGTTGCCAAATGCCTGAAATGCAATCAGGTGACTGTGGGGGAGGAAGGCAGTCACAACTTCAAGGATGGGCTGTAAGCAGCTTTTTTAAAAGTCCCTTGTAACTTCAATCAGTCATTAAGTGACCAGTTGTAAATCCAGGATGACCGCTAGCATCCCATCAATTGCTAC